ATATATATATATATATATATATATATATATATATATAGTAAATGGACTGTACTTGTATAGCAACTTTATCTCATCAAGATTCTAAAAGCTCTTTACAATCTGTGCCTCATTCACCCATTCATACAGCACTCTACTAGATCTATACAAAAATTAATCAGTGCTTTTACATTCATACATTCATTCACTGATGGGACACACATTGGAGGCAATGAGGGGTTCAGTGTCTTGCCTAGGGACACTTCAACATGCGACTGCTGGTGGAATTGAACCCCCAACTCTCCCTCTGGAGGACGACTGCTCTAACCACTCAGCCAAAGCCGCCCATATAAGGGAGAGAAGTGACTACAGCTGAAAGTAAATTTCTGATTCTGAAATGCTGTGAAATTTTAAAAATGACCAAAAATGATTTGTCAGTAAATTCACAACATGTCTGTCTGTCAAGCCAGAGACTTTCCACTTGATCAGCAACTCCCTTCTGCTCAGTTTCAAGTCCAAACTGAGCTACATAAAAGAGATGGGGCTAGGGAACTTTGAAACTAGTTTTACAGTAATACAGTCCCAAATCCTGACAGGTCTTCATCAGGGAAACAATTTGTCATAGGAAGAAAAAACCATCACATACAGAAAGAACTTTATCTTTAGTGATTTTGTCAGAGCATGTTACCCTCCTCAGATAAATAATGGTTTTAATATACTTTTATGTATGTTCAGTGTCCTGCGATGACTTCTGTTGTGACTTGGCACTATATAAATAAACTGAATTGAATTTCTGATGCCTGTGCCAATAATACTATAGGGTTAAGAAAGTTTGGGACAAATTAAACCTATAAGGCATGAATAAATGGATACAATAGGATTTTGACCAGTTTGTAGGAGTAAAACTCTTTAAATAAAATAAAAATACATATTACATATTAGTCTCATTGAGTCACGAGGACTCATTTACAAGAGACCTGATTTCAACAAAACAACGGATGAGGTACAAGCAATAGACATTCATAAAAAGCACAAAATGAAAAGCAAACAAAAGTAGTGATATAAAAAAAATAAAAACCAGCTACATTTCGAAACGGGGTAAAATACTACAAACAGGAACATGTCATTGATTTTTGCATTGAACTTAGTTTTTTTTTAATCCCTTAGAGAGGTCAAGGTCGAGAGCTTCAGATCTTTTTGTAAGATAGTCCAGGAAACAAGAGCGGAGTAGGAGAAGGTCTTTTGCCTATTTCAGTCCTCACTGAGGGAACACTGCAGGTAATAATGTCCTGAGAGCGCACGCTGTAGATGCACTCACGCAGAGACATGAAGGAGATGTATGAAGGCAGCAGACCAAGAAGTGATTTAAAGATGAAAATGTACCAGTGAGAGTCTGCATGAAGTTAATGATGACCAGTTAACCAGTGAATACAGGGTGCAGTGGTGGGTACGATAATCACAGCCAGTTATGAATCTTAGTGCACCATGATAGACAGCATCCAACATCTGCAGGGTTCTTGTAGTTCATGGAGATAATGTCACCGTAATCAATGGAGGGAAGGAAAGTCACAGATACAAGGTGTTTCCTAGCATTCAGAGTTCGACAGGATCTGTTTCTGAAAAAGAAACCCAGTTTAACTTTTAGTTTATTTACCAAGTTTTTGACATGAGGCTTAAAAGAGAGATGAGAATCGACCAATATTCCCAAGTATTTGTAAGAATCGACAAACTCACTAGGAACACTATTCAAAGATTAAAAAAGAAGGAAGGACTGCTGGTAGCAACTTCCTGTTCGAAAACAACATCCCTTTGGTTTTATCAGCATGTAGCACCAGTTTGAGACAGAACAAATCTGACTGGATGATGTTGAATGCAGACTGTAAGAGCTGGAAAACCTTAGCAACAGCTTTAGTGTGACAATAAAACTGTATTATCAGCACAGAAATGTAAGGATGCATCAGGGATGATCTGACCTACATTACTTAAGTAGATTGTAAAGAGGGTGGGTCCTAAGATAGAGTCTTGTGGTACACCATTGTTAAATAAGTGGAAGAAGTACCATTGTGTTGAACACTGAACACAAATTATTTCTAGTCATGGTAAATCTAGTATAAGATGTTTTGAGTGAAACTAACAAAAACCAGTGTGATACAAAAAGTAAAAACTGAGAAATGGAGGAGGCACTTTCTTGGGTTAAACCTATCTGACTTCATGATGAACCCTGAAATGAGACGGACTGTCACATAACTTCACTGAAACGAGTCAAGCTTTATTACTGTGGTGGCAGCCTTTTCATGATATGAACTCTGGATGTAATGGTGTGGCTTTGTTATCAGATTGTGAAGAAAGACGTGCGTCCCTTCCCTCATGCCTGTGTTACAACCATCAGGCTAAAACAACAAGGGAAGAAATCTATGAAGTCTTTGAAAAGTTCTCTTCAGCACGGCTGTGACACACAATCACATCCTGCCACTCCGGTTTGTGTCATTTCTCACCACTCTGTTGTAACAACAAATGCGTGTGCCAATAAACAGTCAGCTGTTCATTTACCTTCTGGACAGACAGCAAGAAGCATTTGTTCTAATGGTGGTCGGGCCTGCTGGTCGTTCTGTAACAGGCTGGGGCCCGGGGTGCAGTTCGTTTGTGTGAATATATCATCGTGTCATGTGCTGCTGATGTTTGTGCAAAGTGAGAGCAGAGGAGAACGTCTCAGGGATGAGAAACGTAGCAGGAAAAATCTTTTTATCTTTTTGAAAAGTACTAAAATATCTTTACATTGAAAAACTTCACTTTGTGAAGCAAAATTTGAGATTTCAGAATTTACAAAGGTCAAAAAAATTCAAATGTCACTAAAATGTACACCAAGAAAAACAAAGGTTTTGTCTTCTGACAACTATCTTAGATCATTCAACAAATTTATTGATAACAATCTTTGATTATACAACAAATATACTGATAAAGAGATAAAGAAATGAAAAACAACAAGTAAACCGTTTTAGATTTCTAGATATGTTGTGATTTTTTTAGAGGGGAGGGGATTAAAAATGAGAAGAAGTCAATGGTCTGTCACTCAGACAGCCTCAGTTGCACTGGAGTGCTTCAGTAAACTGAACCAATTGATAAAGTTTCACTAAATAGAGTGGACTGGTCCCAGCAGCCATTGCATATTTCCATTTAAATTTGCCTTGGACATTTTTCAATAATTCTTGCAACCAAATCTGTACACTTTGAGAAAAAGTGAAGAACGTGCAAACATCGCCTCGTAGAAAATAACTGAGCCGTCTTCTCTCAAGTGCGTCCTGCTCTTGTTTTAATTTCCACTCGGAGTCAATGAAGCTGCGAGTGCTGCACAGCTGTGCATCACTAAAGAGCAGAAACTGAAGCGAGAACAGAAACAAAAAGTTTGTTGGCTCAAGTTCAAGGTTACAAAACTGAACATTCATTTCATACAGAAACCAGGGACTCCTGGTTTATCTGAAGGATTTCTCAGGTTTTAATGCTGCCGTCATTCACAAACATGCATGTTGTTTAAAAACAAGAACTGTGGCTCCTTTTCCCTGAACTTTGTCTAACTTTGCTTTACTCATGCATATGAAAACTGGAAACGAGTTACAGAGTAAAAACAGAAAGTATTAATAGTGAGACCAAACAAACTGTGAGTGTGAAGCGGAAGAACCTGTTGATTTGAGAAATGAAAGAGACAAATTATGAGTTGATGTTCTTCCATCATCAGAGTACAACTAAAAGAAACCCTAAATAAAAGGGGTGCACCGATAAATTGAGGCCGATTTCCTTAATTTTGAGAGAACGAAGATCGGCCGATACATGAGAAACCAATTTTACTGATTTTTTGTAGTTTTAAAAACAATTGTCAAAACTTCATTTATTTTTCAGAGCACTACCTCATGACCAGTTAAAACTAGTTTGTATTGTTTCTAGGATATTGTTCAAGGGTATGTTTTTCAATAAAATAATATTGGAAAATTGAAGGTGCATTGTGACTTTATAACACCTGACAGTGTCGCTTATAAAACTAAATCAGAATCAGCAGGTCAGACTTTAGAAATCGGTGATCGGCCAGAAAACTGCAATCGATGCACCTCTATTACTCAAACCTTTCTACTCAGGTTTAGTGCTCACCTGTCGACTGTTGGTCATCACAACACCATAGTTGACCCAGGTGAGCTCGCATCCTATTCATCAACTTGTAAACTCTAATTAACTCCAAATAAATTTAAGATACTGCCAAGTCCATGTTTGGAAGCCATTTTAAAAGTTTCTTGTGCCAGTAAAGAAAAATGAACATGACAAACCTTAGTAAGTGTGAGAAAAGGATATTCTGGCCATTTTGAAGTTGTGTTTTGTGGAAATGTGTTCATTTCTTATCTACTGAAGATAGCTCTTTAAACAACCATGATTTAGAGAAACAGGAACGAGGAGCTAACAGCTAGTCTGAACGCAGCTAAGACTGAAGCGGAGTGCTGCTGTATGAAAACAGCTTCAGTTTATAAAACTTCTTAGCAGTGCCAACTTTATTTCATTGACCTCAAGATCCCGTTTTTTTTTTTTTTTTTTTTTTTTTATACATACCGGTAGTTATTTACCTAAAATGAAAGTGAGTCCCACTTCCAATGATGATCAAAGTGGTCTAAAACAATTCCAAACTTCACGGTTACAAAAGGGTTCATGCAAAAACTATTACCTAAACTTGGGCAGTTGTGGCTGAGTGGTTAGAGCAGTCATCCTCCAATTGGAGAGTTGGGGGTTCTATTCCACCAGCAGTCACATGCTGAAGTGTCCTTGGGCAAGACACTGAACCCCTCATTGCCTCGGATGTGTGACCCATCGGTGTATGAATGTGATAAAGCTCTGATTATTCTTTGTACAGATCTAGTAGAGTGCTGTATGAATGGGTGAATGAGGCACAGATTGTTGTAAAGAGATTTGAGTGTCTTAAGATAGAAAGGTGCTATAAAGTACAGTCCATTTAACATTTAAACTTTTACATCATCATTTTCACATTACACTGTTATAAATATTTAAAAAAACATGAATGTTAAGCATCCCACACTGCACTGAAAGTGCCATCTACAGCTAATATTAACCTGTATGAAAAAAGGTTGAATGAATAACTTTTTTTAAACAGCGTTTCCCCTACCATTATACAAGCGGGGCGCCCCGCCCCGTCAACAGAACTAGCAGGCCAGGTGCACTAGCTAAAATGCTATAAGCAGCCTCTTCCCTTATGCTGAACCCCCCCCCCCCCACACACACACACACACACACTCGAAAACTGTTGGTAAAACAGCGCACAGCTCATATGTGTGTCTGTCACCCTATAGCCCCCCCCCCCCCCCCCCCCCCCCCCC